CGTCTCGACCTATGCACAAAGGGAGAGCACTCTTGTCAGCTTATTGGCGCAAGTTTATCGGCGAGGGGTTCGGCACAAACTGTCTCCCGCTTGAAAATATCTGTGGTCACGTTCAGCACAAGTAATCGTGTTTAAAAAGACAGCACTAAATAATGCAAAGACATGGTCAGTTATAATCACGGGGTGGATGTACATTATAAGACACAAATAACACCCAATCGCAGCCGCCAGATGATTCATTCTGCACTGAAACTTACACCCACACCCACACCCACACCCACACCCACACACCCACACCCACACCCACACCCACACCCACACCCACACCCACCATAACTGCTGCTTGAGCGACTCATTCTCATTTGCTGTCGTATAGCAGCTTAAACGTACACCACCAGCTACACACCAGCAGGCGGACGGCCCCCATGTCAGATGAACGGCCAGGAACGACATGCCTTCACCAGTTTGACAGTGGATACTCGGGGTCAAAACAAACACAACCGGCCCTTCTTTTCATCACCCACGGAAACCATGACAACAGGGCCGTCAAAGCAGGATCTGCTTCCCTTTGTTTAAACCTTTCTTCCGATGTTCATCACAACAAATGGTCCTTCCATGGAATCTAATCGTTTTGGTACTAATCTTAACACGTCTTTAGACAGTGAAAGCTATGTTTTAGACAACCAACAGTTACGGGTGTGTGGTGAACTAGGGTATATCCGGCATTTGAATACATAGACAACGGTGTTAACCCCCCAAAGCGTCAGGTGTTTGGCCCCATGGCATGCAGCTGTAGCTGGCTGCTTGACGTTGCCGGAAATGTTCGATGACGCCTCGTTCTGACTTCGTTTCCATATAGTTACCGCTGCCGCTGCCAACGTCCCCTCTGTTTTAACAGAATCGCTACTGCACTTACTAGCTATCGCTCTGCATTTCGTTGACTACAGCATCGTTTCGAGGTCTTCTACTGACAAGATGTTTACTAGGCTGCATATTCAAGGTATTTAAGAAGACGATTATTGTATTCTAAGGTGTTTAGAGTATCTATAAGCATTGAAATTGACCGTATTTAACTGCCGTATCGATGGAGATGACACTGGCCGCCATTTGCAATTTGTGAAAATTTACAAATATGAATCTTTTGAATGTCTTTTCCTGTCGATAAAATGAGTGTCGTCCGTATTTATATACGACAGACGATGTTTTAAATTACTACAGATCTTTTTGCCATATATAAGGCGTAACTTGGGTTTATTTTTTAAAACGTATTTTCGAAATATACGGCCTATAATGACATTACTGTAAGATGGATTGTATATCAAAACAACGATTACATGCCCATTTAAATTCCTCTAACGCATTGTCGCGGCCTGTAATTGTCTCTAAGGAGTCTCTATTGGGGCTATGGTCTATATTATGGACAATCCGTTTGTCTCGCTGTCGTTTCAAACCTCCCACGGAACATCGTGGTTCCACTGTACATGTATTGAATGTGTATTAAACATGGTGTTTTGGTTATTTTCAGCACGGGAAGATATGATACGGTATCATGTCACTCCTGCTGCGAGTTTATGGCCGTCGCTGGATGAGGAATCCGACTGTGTATGCATTTCATCTCCATCTTCTTGAGATTCGACCCAATAGCTAGCTTCATTGTCCTTGTTTCGGTAATCCATTTATGCATATAAGTGACATGATATTGTCAGGGACTGAAAAGGGTACCCGTCTCCCATTTACTCAACACTAACACAACATTCCTGTCTAACATTCTGTCAGCATCTATAGCGTGTATAATCAAGGACTATGCACCTTAATATTCTGTGTGTTTGTTTCTTAAAATCCTCCTATATGCCTCGTCCAATGACCCTCCTTTCTCCTACCCTCCCCACTCACCGATGTAGCGTCCCCAGGCTGCGTCCCCTTGCCCCTCTCCCGACCCTTTGAGTGTTTTCGCCCCGTTCTGGACCCGTCCTGACAACGGCGAGACGCTCCCTGCCCCAGTCACCATCACCTATGTCGACTATTACCCTGTCCCGAGTGACGACGACAGTGACTACTGGGTCTATGAGGACGAGGACGACGACAGCTTCGTGGAGGAGCGAGAGGTTCATCCTGTGAGGAAGGCGCTGAGGAGAGTGGCTGCCTTCTGGAGGAGAATCTTCTCGTAGATTCCTCATCCAGTGTGTTTGTGCGTGCGCGTGCGTGTGTGCGTGCGTGCGTGCGTGTATGTATGTCTGTGTGTAAGGGTAAAATGTGTGTGTGTGAGAGGGTAGCATGTGTGATTGGATGTGTATGAGTATGTGAGGGAGAGTGTTGGTGTGTGTGTGTGTGTGTGTGAGAGTGTGAGAGAGAGAGAGAGAGAGAGAGAGAGAGAGAGAGAGAGAGAGAGAGAGAGAGAGAGAGAGAGAGAGAGAGAGAGAGAGAGAGAGAGAGAGAGAGAGAGAGAGAGAGAGAGAGAGAGAGAGAGGAGAGGAGAGAGACAGGGTGAGACAGTAAGAGAGAGGGCGTTTTGCATGACTGATTGGGTGTGAGTGTGTATGGGAGATGAAGATGTGTTTTGCATGTACTTTTGAGTGTAAGTGTGCTTGTGTGAGATGGTGTGTTTTGGTGACCGTCTAATATACCTTTCACCTCTTTTGGGGTTTTTGGCTACACCCTTTGGACATATATTTGGACACACCCTTCGATCGAGTATATTTTGGCACACCCTTTGGCTGACATTTCCGAGTTTATTTCTCCCTAATGAGAGACTGTTTATACTTTTGGCCCCAATTCAGATACTTTCTTTAGGCGAATGCTATTCTGTTTCTTGACTATATCTTAATAAATATTAATGAATAGTATACACGTGAGTCTGTTTTCCTTCCTTCCTTGGATCTACTAGCAAGGTGACAGCAACACAGCGGGAGAGGCAGCTGAACCAAGTCTGGTTTTAAGATATCTTGAAGTTGTTGTAGACAGTTAACTAACTGACACGTGAAGATATTCAGTGGTCATTTGCTGTATCCCGCTGTGCTGCTGTCTTCTAGCCGAGTGTTTTACAAGTTGTCTGATGACAAACACGAAGTCTATACCCGTGTAGCTACGGATACAAAGCTGATGCGGGTAGACTGGATATTTTATGATTGCTTCACTTAGTTTGTACACGTACACGTGAATGGTCGAGAGTGGTCTCCCTTCCTCTTTGCGTCTGTGTTAAATAACCGTGACATTGTCTTTAGATATATTTATACATATTCTTAGGCAGAAAGAGGGATTGCGCTCCTGGTCTAGTGCTCATTTTGAATCCAGTTGATACACGTAGCAACTGGTGCCTTGTATGATACTGGGATTAGTTGTGGCACTCATTACCTCCTAGACAGTGAATGAGTGAGTGAGTGAGTGAGACAGTGAGTGAGTGGGCATGGTTGGCTCTTAGCAATAGTTCCCCATGTCGCGGCGGGGGACACAACGAGCGGATTTTCTTAGGTTTTATTCATCACATATCATCCAGTACATAAACTGGGTACAGAAGGAGCACGTTACTTCCATGTCGACCTTGGAAATTAAAAGCGTGTAACTGTATATTGGACGGAACATAGTAATGATAAAATGTGGTGTTACTAGAGTAATTTAATTATTACACGGCCAACCTATAACCTTGTTAGACTCTTTAGAACGGAAGGTTCAATCAAAGAGAGGGTTTTAATCTTGCCTGTTGTTTTGGCCACGGCCTTTGTCTATGTAACACGTCTTGGCCAGATGGTAGATCGGGTTCACTGACCAAATACCTGTACGGACCACCAGTGCTGAATGTCAGGTGGATCATTACAAGCGACTGCCGGTTAACGCCTACTTTGCCTCACTATTACACGCCCGGGACCTTGCCTTGGCATTTAGATGAGCGGGGATATAGCTGGAATTGTGCAGATACATGTACATATTTCTTTATTGAATCGTGCACACAATAAAGATACTGACATCGCAAGCAGGTTAATTAGCTTGTATCTGTCATTTTGAGGGGGAATGTCTCACAGCCAGCTTCGTCTCGACCTATGCACAAAGGGAGAGCACTCTTGTCAGCTTATTGGCGCAAGTTTATCGGCGAGGGGTTCGGCACAAACTGTCTCCCGCTTGAAAATATCTGTGGTCACGTTCAGCACAAGTAATCGTGTTTAAAAAGACAGCACTAAATAATGCAAAGACATGGTCAGTTATAATCACGGGGTGGATGTACATTATAAGACACAAATAACACCCAATCGCAGCCGCCAGATGATTCATTCTGCACTGAAACTTACACCCACACCCACACCCACACCCACACCCACACCCACACACCCACACCCACACCCACACCCACACCCACCATAACTGCTGCTTGAGCGACTCATTCTCATTTGCTGTCGTATAGCAGCTTAAACGTACACCACCAGCTACACACCAGCAGGCGGACGGCCCCCATGTCAGATGAACGGCCAGGAACGACATGCCTTTACCAGTTTGACAGTGGATACTCGGGGTCAAAACAAACACAACCGGCCCTTCCTTTTATCACCCACGGAAACCATGACAACGGCCGTCAAAGCAGGATCTGCTTCCCTTTGTTTAAACCTTTCTTCCGATGTTCATCACAACAAATGGTCCTTCCATGGAATCTAATCGTTTTGGTACTAATCTTAACACGTCTTTAGACAGTGAAAGCTATGTTTTAGACAACCAACAGTTACGGGTGTGTGGTGAACTAGGGTATATCCGGCATTTGAATACATAGACAACGGTGTTAACCCCCCCAAAGCGTCAGGTGTTTTGCCCCATGGCATGCAGCTGTAGCTGGCTGCTTGACGTTGCCGGAAATGTTCGATGACGCCTCGTTCTGACTTCGTTTCCATATAGTTACCGTTGCCGTTGCCAACGTCCCCCCTCTGTTTTTAACAGAATCGCTACTGCACTTACTAGCTATCGCTCTGCATTTCGTTGACTACAGCATCGTTTCGAGGTCTTCTACTGACAAGATGTTTACTAGGCTGCATATTCAAGGTATTTAAGAAGACGATTATTGTATTCTAAGGTGTTTAGAGTATCTATAAGCATTGAAATTGACCGTATTTAACTGCCGTATCGATGGAGATGACACTGGCCGCCATTTGCAATTTGTGAAAATTTACAAATATGAATCTTTTGAATGTCTTTTCCTGTCGATAAAATGAGTGTCGTCCGTATTTATATACGACAGACGATGTTTCTAAATTACTACAGATCTTTTTTGCCATATATAAGGCGTAACTTGGGTTTATTTTTTAAAACGTATTTTCGAAATATACGGCCTATAATGACATTACTGTAAGATGGATTGTATATCAAAACAACGATTACATGCCCATTTAAATTCCTCTAACGCATTGTCGCGGCCTGTAATTGTCTCTAAGGAGTCTCTATTGGGGCTATGGTCTATATTATCGACAATCCGTTTGTCTCGCTGTCGTTTCAAACCTCCCACGGAACATCGTGGTTCCACTGTACATGTATTGAATGTGTATTAAACATGGTGTTTTGGTTATTTTCAGCACGGGAAGATATGATACGGTATCATGTCACTCCTGCTGCGAGTTTATGGCCGTCGCTGGATGAGGAACCGACTGTGTATGCATTTCATCTCCATCTTCTTGAGATTCGACCCAATAGCTAGCTTCATTGTCCTTTGTTTCGATGATCCATTTATCCATATAAGTGACATGATATTGTCAGGGACTGAAAAGGGTACCCGTCTCCCATTTACTCAACACTAACACAACATTCCTGTCTAACATTCTGTCAGCATCTATAGCGTGTATAATCAAGGACTATGCACCTTAATATTCTGTGTGTTTGTTTCTTTAAAATCCTCCTATATGCCTCGTCCAATGACCCTCCTTTCTCCTACCCTCCCCACTCACCGATGTAGCGTCCCCAGGCTGCGTCCCCTTGCCCCTCTCCCGACCCTTGAGTGTTTTCGCCCTGTTCTGGGCCCGTCCTGACAACGGCGAGACGCTCCCTGCCCCAGTCACCATCACCTATGTCGACTATTACCCTGTCCCGAGTGACGACGACAGTGACTACTGGGTCTATGAGGACGAGGACGACGACAGCTTCGTGGAGGAGCGAGAGGTTCATCCTGTGAGGAAGGCGCTGAGGAGAGTGGCTGCCTTCTGGAGGAGAATCTTCTCGTAGATTCCTCATCCAGTGTGTTTGTGTGCGCGTGCGTGCGTGCGTGCGTGCGTGCGTGCGTGCGTGTATGTATGTCTGTGTGTAAGGGTAAATGTGTGTGTGTGTGAGAGGGTAGCATGTGTGATTGGATGTGTATGAGTGTGTGAGGGAGAGAGTGTGTGTGTGTGTGTGTGTGAGAGAGAGAGAGAGAGAGAGAGAGAGAGGGGGAGAGAGTGAGAGTGTGTGAGTGAGAGAGAGAGAGAGAGAGAGAGAGAGAGAGAGAGAGAGAGAGAGAGAGAGAGAGAGAGAGAGAGAGAGAGAGAGAGAGAGAGAGAGAGAGAGAGAGAGAGAGAGAGAGAGGAGTAGTAGGTGAGACAGTAAGAGAGAGGGCGTTTTGCATGACTGATTGGGTGTGAGTGTGTATGGGAGATGAAGATGTGTTTTGCATGTACTTTGAGTGTAAGTGTGCTTGTGTGAGATGGTGTGTTTTGGTGACCGTCTAATATACCTTTCACCCTTTTTGGGTTTTTGGCTACACCCTTTGGACATATATTTGGACACACCCTTTCGATCGAGTATGTTTTGGCACACCCTTTGGCTGACATTTCCGAGTTTATTTCTCTCCTAATGAGAGACTGTTTATACTTTTGGCCCCAATTCAGATACTTTCTTTAGGCGAATGCTATTCTGTTTCTTGACTATATCTTAATAAATATTAATGAATAGTATACACGTGAGTCTGTTTTCCTTCCTTCCTTGGATCTACTAGCAAGGTGACAGCAACACAGCGGGAGAGGCAGCTGAACCAAGTCTGGTTTTAAGATATCTTGAAGTTGTTGTAGACAGTTAACTAACTGACACGTGAAGATATTCAGTGGTCATTTGCTGTATCCCGCTGTGCTGCTGTCTTCTAGCCGAGTGTTTTACAAGTTGTCTGATGACAAACACGAAGTCTATACCCGTGTGTAGCTACGGATACAAAGCTGATGCGGGTAGACTGGATATTTTATGATTGCTTCACTTAGTTTGTACACGTACACGTGAATGGTCGAGAGTGGTCTCCCTTCCCTCTTGCGTCTGTGTTAAATAACCGTGACATTGTCTTTAGATATATTTATACATATTCTTAGGCAGAAAGAGGGATTGCGCTCCTGGTCTAGTGCTCATTTTGAATCCAGTTGATACACGTAGCAACTGGTGCCTTGTATGATACTGGGATAGTTGTGGCACTCATTACCTCCTAGACAGTGAATGAGTGAGTGAGTGAGTGAGACAGTGAGTGAGTGGGCATGGTTGGCTCTTAGCAATAGTTCCCCATGTCGCGGCGGGGGACACAACGAGCGGATTTTCTTAGGTTTTATTCATCACATATCATCCAGTACATAAACTGGGTACAGAAGGAGCACGTTACTTCCATGTCGACCTTGGAAATTAAAAGCGTGTAACTGTATATTGGACGGAACATAGTAATGATAAAATGTGGTGTTACTAGAGTAATTTAATTATTACACGGCCAACCTATAACCTTGTTAGACTCTTTAGAACGGAAGGTTCAATCAAAGAGAGGGTTTTAATCTTGCCTGTTGTTTTGGCCACGGCCTTTGTCTATGTAACACGTCTTGGCCAGATGGTAGATCGGGTTCACTGACCAAATACCTGTACGGACCACCAGTGCTGAATGTCAGGTGGATCATTACAAGCGACTGCCGGTTAACGCCTACTTTGCCTCACTATTACACGTCCGGGACCTTGCCTTGGCATTTAGATGAGCGGGAATATAGCTGGAATTGTGCAGATACATGTACATATTCCTTTATTGAATCGTGCACACAATAAACATACTGACATCGCAAGCAGGTTAATTAGCTTGTATCTGTCATTTTGAGGGGGAATGTCTCACAGCCAGCTTCGTCTCGACCTATGCACAAAGGGAGAGCACTCTTGTCAGCTTATTGGCGCAAGTTTATCGGCGAGGGGTTCGGCACAAACTGTCTCCCGCTTGGAAATATCTGTGGTCACGTTCAGCACAAGTCATCGTGTTTAAAAAGACAGCACTAAATAATGCAAAGACATGGTCAGTTATAATCACGGGGTGGATGTACATTATAAGACACAAATAACACCCAATCGCAGCCGCCAGATGATTCATTCTGCACTGAAACTTACACACACCCACACCCACACCCACACCCACACCCACACCCACACCCTACCCCACACCCACACCCACCATATAACTGCTGCTTGAGCGACTCATTCTCATTTGCTGTCGTATAGCAGCTTAAACGTACACCACCAGCTACACACCAGCAGGCGGACGGCCCCCATGTCAGATGAACGGCCAGGAACGACATGCCTTCACCAGTTTGACAGTGAATACTCGGGGTCAAAACAAACACAACCGGCCCTTCTTTTCATCACCCACGGAAACCATGACAACGGCCGTCAAAGCAGGATCTGCTTCCCTTTTTGCTTTTTTTAAAGCCTTTCTTCCGATGTTCATCACAACAAATGGTCCTTCCATGGAATCTAATCGTTTTGGTACTAATCTTAACACGTCTTTAGACAGTGAAAGCTATGTTTTAGACAACCAACAGTTACGGGTGTGTGATGAACTAGGGTATATCCGGCATTTGAATACATAGACAACGGTGTTAACCCCCCAAAGCGTCAGGTGTTTGGCCCCATGGCATGCAGCTGTAGCTGGCTGCTTGACGTTGCCGGAAATGTTCGATGACGCCTCGTTCTGACTTCGTTTCCATATAGTTACCGTTGCCGTTGCCAACGTCCCCCTCTGTTTTTAACAGAATCGCTACTGCACTTACTAGCTATCGCTCTGCATTTCGTTGACTACAGCATCGTTTCGAGGTCTTCTACTGACAAGATGTTTACTAGGCTGCATATTCAAGGTATTTAAGAAGACGATTATTGTATTCTAAGGTGTTTAGAGTATCTATAAGCATTGAAATTGACCGTATTTAACTGCCGTATCGATGGAGATGACACTGGCCGCCATTTGCAATTTGTGAAAATTTACAAATATGAATCTTTTGAATGTCTTTTCCTGTCGATAAAATGAGTGTCGTCCGTATTTATATACGACAGACGATGTTTTTAAATTACTACAGATCTTTTTTTGCCATATATAAGGCGTAACTTTGGTTTATTTTTTTAAAACGTATTTTCGAAATATACGGCCTATAATGACATTACTGTAAGATGGATTGTATATCAAAACAACGATTACATGCCCATTTAAATTCCTCTAACGCATTGTCGCGGCCTGTAATTGTCTCTAAGGAGTCTCTATTGGGGCTATGGTCTATATTATGGACAATCCGTTTGTCTCGCTGTCGTTTCAAACCTCCCACGGAACATCGTGGTTCCACTGTACATGTATTGAATGTGTATTAAACATGGTGTTTTGGTTATTTTCAGCACGGGAAGATATGATACGGTATCATGTCACTCCTGCTGCGAGTTTATGGCCGTCGCTGGATGAGGAATCCGACTGTGTATGCATTTCATCTCCATCTTCTTGAGATTCGACCCAATAGCTAGCTTCATTGTCTTTGTTTCGATGATCCATTTATCCATATAAGTGACATGATATTGTCAGGGACTGAAAAGGGTACCCGTCTCCCATTTACTCAACACTAACACAACATTCCTGTCTAACATTCTGTCAGCATCTATAGCGTGTATAATCAAGGACTATGCACCTTAATATTCTGTGTGTTTGTTTCTTAAAATCCTCCTATATGCCTCGTCCAATGACCCTCCTTTCTCCTACCCTCCCCACTCACCGATGTAGCGTCCCCAGGCTGCGTCCCCTTGCCCCTCTCCCGACCCCT